AGGGAGAGAGTGCTCTGGGCCGAGGGAACAGCATGTGCAAAGGCCCTGGGGCAGGAGGGCTTGTAGAGGGTGAAAGGTGGTTGGACCATCTTAGAGACTGGAGCAGACAGCGAGACTGGCCAAATGAGGCATCAAATGGGGTAGGCCAGACCCTTGTAAGTCATTAAGGCGTTTCTTTTTCTTCTTAAGAGCAATGGATAGACAGGAAGGGGTGGTAAGGAGGTGGGAGAACTGGTCAGAATAGTGTATTGAAATGTGGTTTCATGGCTGCAAGTAGCGAACCGATTGAAGATGCGGATGCCGGTGGGGGCAGCTGTCCAGCTAAGAGATGCTGACCCCAGAGATGATGCAGGAGATGGACAGGTATGTTACCAGGTCTTGGCCCTGCACACGGAGAGGGAAGTAGTTTGGGACAGCTCCTGGGTTTCTCACTTGAGCAACTGAATGGATGCAGGTGCCTTTCGGGTTCTTGACAAGGTCTGGGAGAGGATGGGGCATTGGGGTGGGTAGGGTGGGAGAGGGAACGGCCTACTTCTGTTTTGAACAGGCTGTTTGAAGAGCAAGGGGAAGCCAACCCACCATCGTATGGTGATGACCGACAGACAGTCCACTGGCCAAAGCGAGGCCGCAGAGTGAAGGGAAAGGTCCCAAGTTGGGGCTGCAAACCCGCCGTAGATCCGTCGACAGACGAAGGGTTAAACAAACTGCGGTCCATTCACTCGGCGGAGTATTACTCAGCCACAAAAAGGCATGAAGCACTGAGACAAGCATCTCGAAAACACACTGAAAGAAGCCAGATGCAAGAGGTCAAACTGGGTGTCACTCCTTCTAGATGAAAACACAGAAGCGGCACGTCCCTGGGACGGAAAGCAGAGGGGCTGTTTCCAGGGACCAGGCGCTGCCACCAGCAGCTCTGCGAGGACCAGGGCCAGGGGAAGAGGAATGGTTTCATATTTGGAGATTTGGAGCATGCCGTACCGAAGAACAGGGGCCCCTGAGGGCTGCTCACTGCCTAGTTTCCAACCCACTTCTGCTCTGTGGCGTTGACCATGTACTCGAAGCACACCAAGCCTCACCGTCCTGTCTGTAGGAGGGAGTGTGAATGGCACCAATCTCGTGTTGGGTGCGGTTTAAACGACAGATGAGTGGCCAGTCGAGTTGATTCTGAGTTAACTCGGTGTTTCACGGTTGGTTTCAGAGTAGAACTGTGCTCCAGAGGGTGTTCGACAGCTGGCATCTTCTGGTGGCATGATGGCTATGCACTGGGCAGCACAGCTCATGGTCAGTTCAAAACCACCAGCAGATGAGGCTCCCCACGCCCTTAAGGAGTTCACAGTCTCAGGAACCCTCAGGGGCAGTTCTACCCTGTCCCATGGGTTGCTATGAGTCGGCATCCACTCAGGGGCAGTGGTTTTTGGATCTCCCGGAAGTACGTGGGCAAGCCGCCTTTCTTCCCAGGTGCCTCTGGGAGGTTGGTTTTTTTTTTTTAAATCGTTTTATTA